GCTTATGATCTATCAGGCAAAGCAAGTTCCATATGTATACAATAAGCATTTCCAGGTGCAATCCCAAAAAACAAAGCAATTGCTAGAAGGGGACTTGATGACAAGTGGGTTAGTGCACTAGCCTTTCACTTTTGGTGTAGCAATTTTCCTTGAGTCACACGGGAATTTAATGGAATCATGCTGTTTTGCTGGCAGCTTTTTCCTTTCTCAGATGGCCAGCACATTGCTGAATTGGGAGCTGATCCCAAAGCCTGCAGAAAGGCCAGGGCCTAGATCCACAGAAGGACATTGGTGCCTATATCAAGAGCACCTGAGCCCAACATCAAGATACTCAAAACTCTGACTCAGCTGGTGCCTAGCCCTGTCCACGCCTAACTCCCTGAGCAGGGACAGACTTAGGTCACATCCTGCCAGTCAGCAATGGCTACTGGCTAGTTTAGGCAGCTACTGCCCTAACAGCCTGGATTTGTGGGTCCACTCATCTCATCCAATGCTTCATGTAAGGAGCCTGGTGTGACGTAGTGGGGGGTACCTTGCTGGATTCTATGCTGGGCAGTGGACTGTGGGTGACCTCCACTGTCTGCTGTCTGTAGCACGGCCCAGCAGGGCAGGGGATGAGTCATTATGCAGGGGGCTCCGAACCTGTCCGGCCAGTTATCTCCCAGGGAGCGGAACAATGGGAAGAAGGCGGAGTGGAGCCCTGGCTGGGAGGCAGGGCTGGAAGAGAGTGGTAGTTTCGGTCTGGGAAGCAGGGGAGAAGGAACTAGGGAGGGGGGCTGGGATTGTAGGGCCCAGCCACCCCCATCTCAGAGGGGGGCACTGAGGCCTCCTAGCCCCAGTTCCTGTAACTAGATTACATCTGTGCTGTGCTGTATCCTGGAGAAGCAATAACCTCCCTCTATTCTACTGGCTGGTGGAGTCTGTTCGTGCCACTACGGGGGTGCAGGAGATGGGGAAACCCCAACACGCTGTCACACCTGGGCACCTAACCCAGCATTCATGGATTCCACTGGGTGGCAAGGCATGTAAAAGTGTGGTTCTATGATGCCTAAATCCATCTGTGAATCTGGGCTCTGAAAAAAATCCTGCATGAGCACCGTAGTCAAGATCTGTAGTCTGTAGCCAGTCATGGTAGTCAGGATTTGAGGTTCTGTCCAGCTTTCACTGACCCTACTCATCCTACTGGATGACTCGCCTGGGTAAGGGACCAGGATTTGGTCTGGATTTTACTTTATTTGAAGTTGCTCTGTCATAGATAATAAGGTTACTCCCAGGATGGTGAAGCTCCAGTGCAGCTCCAGTGAAGTAGACTCCTGATTCTTTAAGGAGTTGTTAATATCTCAACACTTGGGCTTCAGTAGTTCACGGATGGAAAGTCTGCTCCTTCCATTTCTGTGAATGCCAGTTTAGAGCAGCGGCACAGAAGTGTACTGCAGGAAAGGTTTGAGCAGTGTTAAGACTCAGGAAAACACATTGTTTCAGAGGAAAATTGTGTACATAGAGATGACACTGGAAATTGACACAGTTAGAAATTAAATCATTAACCCTTTGGAGACTCTGGATTTCACTGTAGAAATTGTACACTGTGCACTTGGGTCTCTTCTCACTGCAATTTTATGCCCATGCAATTTCTTGCCTTCAGTGGAATTAATTCTGATTTACACCAGGCCAAATCTGTGAAAAATGATACTTAACAGATGACTTGATCACAGACTGCAAGTATCTACACGGGGAAAAAACATTTAATAACAGACTCCTCATTTCAGCAGAGGAAGGTAGAACATGAGCAAATGTCTGGAAGCTGAAGCTAGACACATTCGGACAAAAGAGAAAGCATAAAAAATGTACCAAGAGTGATGGTGGATTCTCCATCACGAGAGGTTTCAAAATAAAGATTGGGTACTTTTCTCAGGGATATGCTCCAGGAATAATTTGGGGAAAATTCTATGAAAGAAGTCAGAGTAGGTGATCACAAAGGTTCTTTTTTGGAATCTATGACAATCCTGCCTTCTATGCCATTGTGGTTGTTGCAGAGAAAGAGAAAATGGGGAGCTTTGTGACATGGTATCCTCAAACCCAGCCTCAGTTTCCTCACTCCCATAAGCCAGAGGATCATCTTACTAGCTAGTGCATCAAAGAAGCTCACACCAGTATCAAGAGTTTCATTCCCTCTTCTAAGGGATTCACTTTCTAGTACAAACACAAGATCAGCCCAGACGTACTCTAGGCCCTGCCATGTGGCCTTGTCTCCGAGGGTTTTTGCTGATGCGTACACAGCAGATATTTCCAGCAAAGTTCTTTGCTCAAGTTCCTTTTCTCTGACTCAAGGACTCTTGCTACCACTGCTCCCCAAGGGGAGGAGACAAAGGCTCAGAGATTGAAAGGGGCCTGGGGGTCCCAATTACTGCTACTGCAGGAGTGGCAGTGGCTAGAATCCCAAGCCCCTTTGAATAGTTACTGGAGCAACAAAGTGCCATTCTGGGCACCCCGTGCAGCTGTGAAGGCCGGGGGGAGGGGCACACTGCAGTCTTGGTGGTACTAAGGGCTAACTGCTCTTGGCCCCGTGCCCTTCCCCCCTCCCCAGGCTTTGGCCTGGGGAGCCTGGGGTGGCTGTCGGCCCTGCTGGTGCTCACTTACCATCACTACCCCAAGTGAACTACTTGTTCATCATTTACCTCATGAGTTGGAAAGCAGTTAGCATGTCACAAGTGGGGACGCACCCAACTTCTTTAACGGGGCTATCCCAGCCTGGGACAAACAACGCCTCCTCCTAACAGCGACTCAGGACACCATTCCAATGGAATCCTAACGGTGCACCGAAAGCCTGGGCCCCGTGTGCCACACAGCCAACATGAACACCTTACCTTCCAAAGTGAGAAATGGTAGAGCCCGCAGCTTATCTGCAACAGGGGCGCTAGCCCCCTCAGCACTGCATGCCCCCATGGACAACTCTAGGAGACACGCCGAGTGGTTTTCCCTTCTAAACTGTGCTACCTTTCTGCAGTTAAAAAAACCAAAACAAACCCCCCGGCCAAACAACTAAATGAATATTTGCATATGAGTCAATTGAGCTCTATGGAAACCAACTTCTCTCCAGGAGTGCCAGCTTTCTGAGACTGCCTGAAGAGCAGACCAAAATGGAAACGCCTCCAGTCTTCTTTCCACATGGATTTGATGCTGATGTTCAACAGACTGCTCACAGCAGTAACTCAACAGCAGCCACTGAGGACTGACCTATTGTCTCTGAACGAGCTGGCTCTTCAATGATTGGACACTGGGATTAAATGAGAACAGGCATTAGTCAATTTGTGGGCGGGGTTTCGAGGCGGACGTTTTTGTAAATGTTGAGCCCCTCACTCACAGTTTGCTGCTGGAGGAAATCCTTTCTATGTCCTCAGAAGTCACAAGATATAAAAACCCTTCCCTCAATTAACCCCATAAGAATTGCTACAGAGCAATAAACACACTTTATTAATAAATTTAAGTGAGAAAGTAAATTACATACAAAATTAATAGGGCTTATGGCCTTAGCTGCACCCTGAAGTTGTATCGTTTTAACTATACCAATATAATTAATGTTGCACAATTCTACCACCAGCATGGACACAGTTATCGACTATATATTTTAGAGTTTGTCTGTCTGCATGTGAGTCAAAAACTCCTCCTAAACTGTAAGAGCTAGGACCGCCTAATTTGATATGCAGCTTCCTCTTATAACTCAAATCAAGGCCAGAGCTTGGTTATGCCAGGAAAATGGGACGTGTCTGGAATCTGATTATTTTTAATCAAATGGAAAGGGAGGAGGTCTGATAGCAAGGACCGTTATACTCCAGAATGAGCACAGAGGGAGAGGGGAGGCAGCAAGCATGCTAGGCCTGGGAGCAACCACTGGCCAAACAGTCTGCCTCCTGCTGCCCGCCTGGTCCTGGGGAGCAGCCACCAGCAGGGCAGCATGGCCCCCGCTGCCTCAGCTGGCCTGGAGAGTCGCCCCACCTCCCAACTCCCTGCCCTGATTCCTGCATTCCATGCCCTGTGCAGATACCACCTGCTCTGAGCCCCCCACAACTCCTAAGCCTTTGACTGGACTCCTGCACCCCCGCACCTCCCCAACCCTGTCCTGACTCTCATGCCCCCTTCAATCCCCTGCCCTGAGCCCCTCCTGATCCAACCCTGACTCCTACACCCCCCACATCTCCAACCTCCTTCATCCCAAAGTCCCTACCCTGACTCCTGCACCCACCCCTTCCCCTAGCCCCCTGCCCCGAGGCCCAGAGAGTTGACTTGTTTGAGATCACAAGGAACAATATAACCCTAAATATTTGACATGGCTCTTCTTCTTTTACTTAACTTCAAGGACCTGAGTTCAGCATTCTATTCACCTGCAAGAGTGAAAACCAACCAAACAAATAAACAAAATCCATAAAGAGAACTGTAAGGAAGACTGCTCCTTGCTCGCATCAGTCATTTGTGAGGCTATACATTACAATAAGAGAAATCCAGGACTTGGTATGAAACAAAAAAACCTTTCAATTTGCTTTTCAAAACAACTGGTTTAAAATGTTAAGGCTATGCATGTATCATGATAGCGATCTGAGAACCTGTTATTTATAAGTCAGTACTGCCTAAAAGCCCCAGTCAAAGTCCAGGTCCCCACTGTGCCAGGTGCTGTATACATTTAAAACATGGTTTTGCAATTATTTTTTTTTGACAAAGCATTTTGATTTCACTTAACAGAGGTATATGCAGATGAGTCACACAGAAACAATGACCTTAGTAAATTACACTTTCAGTAAAAACATGTCAAATGATAACAGGCTTTATTGTTTACAGTGTTTCCTTGTGAGATGAAACAAAAGTTAATTACAATAACTGAAACTTCGGGGAGATGGATTGGCTTGATAGCCTCTCCATATGGATCTCCTTTTCATAGCAGCATGTGTACCACATCTTAAAGGAGACAGAATGTGTAAGGAAGGCACATCTGAGCAATCAGACTGACACTTTTTTATTAGAGTATATTTATTTTTTATCATGTGCTTTGACAGAAGTCTCATGAAGTGCTATGCTCCTGCTGTAGGGTCAAAGTCTTGTGGCCTTCAGGGATTTTAGGGAAAAGGAACATAATTTTAGAGGGCATGTTTATTATTTCTGTAAACGTTCTGTTTTCTACGCTATGTGAACAGTTTTTCTGTTTGTACTTAGATGACAGCTTAACTCCATTGGCTGGCTTTCCTGAGTAGATCTTTCCTGCCAAACAGTTTTGATCACAATTTGGCAAACAAATCAGCAATATTAATAAATATTAGTGCTGAGTAAATAAACTGCAACAAATAATTTATCCGATTTTTAGCAAAAGTTTCTTTTGCTGCTTGCAGAATATTTGTGTGCTATTTTTGATTTCCTGGCTTTTATTTGTTATTCAAAAGCATTCAGTTTTTTCCAAACTCTGTGGGTTCATCACAAAGTCTGTAAATATTGGTTAGTTGTTATTGTACGGCAAATGTTTTGGTGCTACACCCTAACTGGATGAGTGCTTGAGTTCCTCCAGCATGAATACACTTGCTTGTGAATTTTAAATTAAATTCCTGCAAATACTTGCACATATAACAGAGATCACAAAACACTGATCACAGCCATAAATGCAGGTATTGTGAGATACTGGCAGAAGCCAGTTCTCTCGACAAAACAAACAACAGAGTCCACACTGGCTCTTTGTCAAAAATAAAGGGAGGGGAAAAGACAAAAGTCTCTCACAGAGGTGGAAGTTTTTTGTCATCAAAACTGCATGCTTTTCCTGACAAAAGCCAAGATCCACTATCAGAACCTCCACAATTGTCCAATCAATCATGATGGACTGTTTGGGGATAGCTGTTCTAGGGTCATATACTCAGCTTGTGTAAACAGTAACACCATTGACCGAATTGATCTAAATGCAAACAAAAGCTTAGGATCTGGTTTCTAAATTCTAATAATTGCATCAAGGCATTCTACTGAATATATGTATCATCGTAACAGCAACCTCTCCTAGTTATTTTTGTCTTGTTGTTGGCACAGTTTTGCTACATCTCCCCACTATTCTCCTACTTTTGTTCTGTGCTTGTTACACTGAGATTTGCTATAAATAACACAGATATTGTAGAATGTATGATGGATCTGGGTAAACAAATTAAATGAAAGGCCTCTAGTGAGAAGTAAGAACATGTCTGCAAGGGTAATA